ACTCAATGGTACTGCGTTTGGTTTGATTTTTGTTCTGTCTAGCCCCTTGCACTCCCCCACCCTCTGAGAGATTTCATGCATATAATTCTTTATGGTATCAGAGGCCGAGGTCTCGCCTGTAGCTGCTTCCTGCTTATATAGGACATAGAGCACCAGGCTGCCTATATGAGTAGAGTCTACTCATATAATCTATATAGAATATGTATATTCTCCCTATATAACATTATATAAATATAATTTACTCATCTAATATAATCTAGACTAAAATATAATAATATAATATACTCCTAATCTACATTAAGAGAAGCAAGCTCTTCCAGCTGAAGTGATCCTTAACCTGAGGCTGTCAGTCATTCACAGGCATAGACCTGTTTGTGGTCTTTGGTTTAAGTTCAGGACGTGGAATGTAGATATGCGGTTCAGGAGGTAGGACCTTCTTTTACTGGCTTCTGCTCTGCAGTCTAGATTTCCTCAGGATTCATTGAGTCTTGTTTCTGAACATCCTGCACCAGCTACACCAAAGGTTGTGGTATGGGAACTTTTCACAGTCATAAAAATAAGCCAAAAGAAAACGGGTAGGAAAAGATTGGCACACCCTCAATGCTATGTCTGACCATGAGCAACACAAGAAAGACCAACAGTGCTTCTCACTCAACATCCTCCCTGCTCTTCACCTACAACATTTTTTAATGTCAGTTTTATGGTAATCACAGACATGAAGGTATTGGTTGGGCTAATAGGCTGGAATGAAAGGACAAAAGAAGATAGCTTTTTGGGTATACTAGTTCTGAGGAAACCTTTAGGCTATGCTTTTTTTAAAATCATGGGGTCTCATACAACTCTTATCACAATTCACACATACATCAATTGTGTAAAGCACATTTATACATTCGTTGCCCTCATCATTCTCAAAACTGGTTTTCTGCTTGGGTTCCTGGAATCAGATCCTCATTTTCCTTTTCCCCCTCCCCCTCCCTTTCTACCTCCTCTTCCCTCCCGCTATCTTCACTCTCACCACTGGTCCTGAGGGGTTCATCTGTCCTGGATTCCCGATGTTTCCGGTCCCATCTGTACCGCTGTGCATCCTCTGGTCTAACCAGGTTTGCAAGGTAGAATTGGGATCATGATAGTTGGGGGGAGGAAGCGTTTAAGAACTAGAGGAAGGTTGTGAGTTTCATTATTGCTACACTGAACCCTGAGTGACTCATCTCCTCCCCACTACCCCTCTGCAAAGGATGTCCAGTTGTCTACAGATGGGCATTGGGTCCCCATCACGCGCTGCCCTCGTTCACGATGATATGTACCCCCCCCTCCCCGCCTTTGGTGTAGGCTATGCTTTCTAATTTTTTGTGTGTGTGCCTGCCTTAATTGACATAGTCCATATCACTTTCTGTAAGCATCCTACTTCTCCTTGCTTTTCTAGGATTCCCTGGTCACCTAGTCCTTTAGTGGGTAGAAGTATGTGTGCAGGGTGCTGCAGAGTGCTTTTGGACTGATTAAAGGCATAGGATGGAGACAGAGCTTTATCTGCCGGCTGCAGATTCCTGCATTACCTGCCTTCAGGTTCCTCTCCATTAGAGGTTGAGTGTAGCACACTGATGGTTAACCTGAGCTTAGCCGGGCTCTCATGATGGTGGCCAAAGAAGTCTTTTTACATTCAGGGTGCCAATTTTCCACTGGGTGCCACCTGGTCTTCACCAGGAGTTAGGTGGAGCAAGGTCTCCCTCCATAAAGTACTTCGTAATTCATCACCTTGGTTCAAGCCGTACCTTTGTCCTCTGCTGCATGAGAAGTATCAGTAAAAGGTAACAGTATGCATGGACTGCAGATTAAAATCATTACTAGCCCTTGTAAAGCTGACCTACTGTGTGTGCCTATTCCTGGTGACCAAAAAAACCAACTCATGCCACTGAGTCGATTCTGACTCTTTGTGAGTCTATAGGACAGGGTAGAACTGTGCCTGTGAGTTTCTGAGGCTGTAAATCTTTATGGGAGTAGAAGGGCTCCTCTTTCTCTCAAGGAGCAGTTAGGGTTTTGAACTGCTAGCCTTGTGGTTAGCAAGCCAATGTATAACCACTATGCCAAACCAGTCCCCCAAATCTAGTGCCCGCAGGGATGTTATAATGTGTCGTATTATGTGGTCTTTTGTTTAATTCTGTGCCCGTCCTGTTGTACCTTTCCTGTGTTTTTATCTATGTGCTACAAGAAGTGTTGACTGCTGTACAGACTCCACCTTACTGTGCTAGTAAAAAAGTTCAAAGCTGCTGTTTTCAGGGATTCTTTAGCTACCTCTCTTGCATAATGGCCTCTGGCCACTGCCAACTCAAAATTATGTTAGATTTTTGAACTCACAGTGATCCCATAGGACAAAGTAGAACTACTCTCGTGGGTTTCTGAGTCTGCAAATCCCTCTGGGGACAGAAATCCTTATTGGAGCAGCTTATGGTCCACAATTTCAGGCCTGGTGCTCAGGTATCCTGCACATAACTCACTCAGCTACAAAGGTTCTCTGCCGATGCTTAAAGAGACAGACAGCCTACCGGGTAGATTTATGCCACATTCTGGGAATGATAACTTTTCATCAGACCTGAATACAGGTCAAATGATCACAAGTTTTTTCTATGTAGTTATTTATGTAACAGAGGATCATCTTCTT